CCTCCAGACTCACCTGAAGGCGTACCCGAAGGCCATGACGGCATCGGACACGAACTGCAGCTGCGCCTCGAACTCCGTGTTCTTGCTGGTCAGCTTCTCCCGCCCTGTGCAAAGCGTCGTGTACTCCTGGTTGTAGGGCGTCTTGGAGCTGTTGGGGTACTTGCACTTGAAGTGGTTCTCCCAGTACTCTGTTTGGGGAGGGGAGGGAGGAAGGGAGAGAAAGGGGGAGGAGTTATTGGATTATTATTGTTACTTTTATTTGGATTGTGTGTGGGGAGACGGTAATGGAGAAAGTTTTTTTTTGTGTGTAGTATTATTATTTTTGTTGTTGTTATTGATATTATTTTTGTTTGGGGTTTGTCTAGGGAGAAGAGGGTGAAGGAAGGTAAAAAAAAAAAAATTGTGACTGTTATTTGTATTTTGTGCAGGGGGAGGTAATTATTCTTATTATTTTGCATTATTTTTATTTGTATTTTGTGCGGGGAGGCGAGAATTATTTTTTTCTCATCATATTTAATTAAGTTTTGTGTGGGAGAAAGGAAAATAAGGAAAATGAAAACAAGCGTTTGAAAAATATCGTTTATAATCTTAATTGTATGCTGTGTCGGGGCAGGACAATAAAGTTTTTTTTTTATCATTATCTTTTTTTATCATCATTTTACCTGAATTTTATATGGGAAGAAACGAAAATAAAGTTTCACATATTTTCATTGTTCGTTTTGGTTCTCGATATGACTTCATTTACTAATTTCTTATTTAAAATGTGAAAATGTATAGTAGACCCCAATTAAAGGAAAATAGACGAAGAGAGCGAACGCAAAACTAGACGATTACGTAATTGGAAAGACATATACAAAAAAGGAAATCAAACCAAACCATAAACTCTCACAATATCCTCTTGGAAACCTAAGAAATAACACTGAATACCTTTATTGGAACTTATAATACTTCATTACTTATTGCACAATCACTATGACACAAGTTGCAGATGTTACCTCACAATTCAGAGACAAATGACTATAAGACCATTGATAGTATAATGATAATACAGTTAATAATAAGAAAAACTTTTCTTAATAATAAGAAAAGGTAAGAAGGAAAAGGATTATCTTCACGGTGCAAGAAATCCTTTTGGTCGGTTTCCATTACATTTTTTGCAATAATATTTCAGACGAAGATGCAATCAAAACGGATGAAATACATATAATACATGCGAATCTATCTATCTATCTATCTATCCATTTATCTATCTATCTATAATCCTTCTTATCCACATTTTTTTTTCTACGATAGCACAAATAACGCATACCACTCACCACTCACCCACAAAAACAAAACAAAACAAAAAAAAAACGAAACCACTCCCTCCCCCTCCCCCCCCCCAAAAAAAAAAAAAAAAAAAAACAGAAAAAAAAACTCACCTACAAACCAAGGATTCCTCTTATTCTTCTCGACAGTCAGGCTGAGGAAATACTCGTCAAAACCTCTCACAGGGTTGGCCTGGGGTTGGACCGAGAGCGTGCCTTCCACCTCGGGCTCATTGCCTGTAACATCGGGGTCCGGTGGTGGGGGGGGTGGGGGGAGAAAGACAAGGGGGAGATGAGTGAGTGAGAGAGAATGAGTGTGAGATAGGTAGGTAGGTAAAGAGGTAAGTAGGTAGATAGATAGGTAGATAGAGATATATATAGATAGGCAGGTAGATAGATAAGTAGGTAGGTAGGTAGTGAGAGAGAAATAGAGATAGATAGATAGAGATAGATAGATAGATAGAGAGAGAGAGAGAGAGAGAGAGAGAGAGAGAGAGAGAGAGAGAGAGAGAGAGAGAGAGAGAGATAGGTAGGTAGGTAATATATATATATATATATATATATATATATATATATATATATATATATATATATATATATTTATATACATATATACTTATATATATATATATATATATATATATATATATATATATATATATATATATATATATAGAGAGAGAGAGAGAGAGAGAGAGAGAGAGAGAGAGAGATACTAAAATGTGCACAAGGTGCAGAATGCTAGGGAGATAGCACAGTACAACAAAAATAGACAAAAAGCTTTAGTAATGTACTTTTAGTCTCCTATCTCTCTCTCTCTCTCCTACTCTCTGTTTCTCTCACTTACATGCACACGTAATCTTAAACTCATAAATACATATACATATGAATAAGTAACACAAACACACACACACACATAAATTCATAGTTGAACACACACGAACACACACACAACGCACACACACACGCACATGCACGCACGCACGGATGCACAAGTAAACAAACACACAAGACGTGATGTTCTGTCCCTAGGTCGGACGATGATTGGCCAGTAATCTACGGAGACACAACCCACATTTCAACACACCCATGTAAACAGAGTCGGCCAGGCATGTTGTCTCGACGGGTAAACACAGACTCAAATGAAAAGACGCAGCCGATCTCTCTGCTTCTCCTTCCCTTTATCTCTCCTTCTCCTCCTCCTTCTTCTTCCTTTCTTTCCATCGTTGTTACTGCATCTTCCGTCTCCCTGTACCTTTTTACATGCCCTACTCTCTCTCTCTCGCTCTCTCTCCCTCTCTCTCTCTCTCTCTCTATCTCTCTCTCTCTCTCCCTCTCCCTCTCCCTCTCTCTCTCTTCCTCCCTCCCTCCCTCCCTCCTTCCTTCCCTGTCTCCCTCCATCCTCCCTCTCCCTCTCTCTCTCTCTTCCTCCCTCCCTGTCTCCCCCCTCTCCTTCTCTCTCTCTGTGTCTCTCTCTCTCTCTCTATCTCTCTCTCTCTCTCTCTCTCTCTCTCTCTCTCTCTCTCTCTCTCTCTCTCTCTCTCTCTCTCTCTACCTCTCTCTCTCTCTCTCTACCTCTCCCTCTTCCTCTTCCTCTCTCTCTCCTCTCTCTCTCTCTCTCTCTCTCCCTCTCCCTCTCCCTCTTCCTCTCTCTCTCTCCCTCCCTCCTTCCCTGTGTCCCTCCCTCCTCACCCCCTTCTCTCCCCTTCTCATTCTCCCTCTATTTTTAATGCTATTTGGATATAATTATTAGACATGTTACATTGAAAATATTTTTTACAGACTATCCCTCCCTGTTCTACTCGTTCGCTCCTTATCCATCTTTCTTTCCCCCACTCTTTCCTCTTCTCCATTCTCTCTCTCCTCTTATTCCTTCACTTTCACCCTTGTCTCAACCTTTTTTTCCTTCTTCAGTTCCCTCCATCCCTCTCTCCCTCATTCTCTCTCTATCCTCTTTTCCACTACCCTTACTATCTACCATCGTCCTTCTTTTCTCGTCTCTTCCGCTCCATCCCTCCCTCTCCCCCACCTCCTTCTTCCTCTCCCTCTCTCCCTTCCTTCCGACCCTGCTCTCTTTCTCTTTCACTTCCCTCATATCCTAACTACACCTATTTTCCCCTTCCCTTCTTCCTCACTTTCCTCCACCATTTCTTCTCCAAGCTTTCTCTCCCTCCCTCCCAGTCCTGCCTATTTCTTCCCCTCCCTCTCCCTCCCCTCCCTCCCTTCTAACCTCCCCGTCTCCCCTTCCCCTATCCCACCCTCACCTCTCCCCTCCTAGCCTCCCCTTCCCCCTCCCCTCTCCTCCCCTTTCCCACTTTCCCTTCATCCCCTCCCCCTCTTCCCCCTGTATCCCCCCCTCACCTGAGGACACCAGCGAGCGGGCCGACCAGTCGTCCTCCCCTCTCCCCTCCCCTCCCTTACCCCCCTCCCCCCTCACCTGAGGACACCAGCGAGCGGGCCGACCAGCCGTCCTCCCCTCTCCCCTCCCCCCCTCACCTGAGGACACCAGCGAGCGGGCCGACCAGCCGTCCTCCCCTCTCCCCTCCCCCCCTCACCTGAGGACACCAGCGAGCGGGCCGACCAGCCGTCCTCCCCTCTCCCCTCCCCCCCTCACCTGAGGACACCAGCGAGCGGGCCGACCAGCCGTCCGAGCCGATCCAGGAGAAGCTCCCCGTGGCGTTGTTCCTCCTGACGGCGCGCATGACGCCCGCCACCTCCTGGTCGGAGCCGAAGATGATCACGCCTGCGGGGGGCGGGGGAGAGGGTCATGAGCAGGAGGAGGAGGAAGATGATGATGATGAGGAGGAGGATGATAGGGAGGATAATGGGGATGATGATGGAGATGGGGGTGATTGATGGTGGTGATGATGATGATGGTGAGGATAATGAGGAGGATATTGAGGATGGTGGTGATTGATGGTGATGATGGTGATGGTGGTGAGGGTAATGATAATGGGGAAGATAATGCTAATATCAATCGTATTATCTATGATTATTATCTTATTTTTGTTATTGTTATCATTATTATTATTATTATTATTATTATTATTATTATTATTATTATTATTATTATTATTATTGTTATTATTATCATTACCATTACTTATTCGAAATTATAATTATTATTATTACTATTTTTATTATCGTTTTGATTATTACAATTATTATTATTACTATTATCATTATTACCATTATTATTGTCATCATATAATAATGATGATAATGATGTAATGGTAATAGTGATGGTGATAATGATGACAGTGATGATTGACGATGATGAGGTGATTATGATGGTGATGATGATGATGATGATGATGATGGTAGTAGTGATAATGATTACTATTTTGATGATGATAGTGATAGGGATGATGATAGTAATGCTGATGATAGTAATGGTGATAATAATGATGATAATAAGCATAATGATTATGATAAGTATGATGATAATAATGAAGAAGGATAAACAACAACAATGATGATAATGATGATAATAATGATAACAATAAAAGATGATGATAATAATGATGATAATAATTATGAAAATAATGATAGTATTAATAAAAACAGTAATAATAACAATGATGATAATAATGATGATAATAACGATAACAATGATAATAACGATAATAATGATAATAACGTTAATAATGATAATAACGATAATAATGATAATAAGGATAATAATGATAATAA